TTTGTTCGATTCATTAGTTCGATCGTCGAACTAGTGAGATTTTTTTTTCTCATTTGTTCGACCGTCGTCGAACTTATTTTCTTTATTCATCCATTTTCATTACCAGAACCTCTTAGTTATGTATGGTTTCCTGGTACTTTTTTTTCTAAATAGTGATTTTTATAATATGTTTATGGATGCAATATTGACGACGGTCGAACAAATGAGAACAATAAAATCTCAGTAGTTACGATCGAACTAATGAGAAAAAAAAAAATCTCACTAGTTCGACGATCGAACTAATGAATCGAACAAATGAGAATATAGGAACCGGTCTACACACTATACCAGTTACAGATACATTTTTCCCCGCCCCCCACGACAACTGCTAACTAGAGCCGAGGTCCGAGTCTCAGAGACCCCCTCAGGTTAGAGTGGTCTTGAAGCGCCAGACAGAGAGGCGACTCCCCCCGTGGGGAGATGCCATCCATCTGGAGAACCTCTAAACGCACACGCTAATTCTCGGCTTGAGGTAATCTTAGGATCTCGCCGTCCTCAAACCCGGTGACGCTGTAAAGGTGATCTGCGACCAACAGTATACACACTCAAAAAAAACTGTTATCACCAGCTCAGCATTAGGCAGACACCGCACCCGTAGGATAAGAGTGCGAAGACCTGGTCTACACACGACACGCTATACCAGGTCCAGATACGTTCCTGGGCGTTTTTCCCCGCCCCCCCACGACGTCTAACTAGGACCGAGGTTCGAGTCTCAGTTGAGCCGACCCCCTCAGGTTCGAGTGGTCTAGAAGCGCCAAACAGAGAGGAGATTCCCCCCGTGGGGAGATGCCATCCGCCTGGAAAACCTCTCTATAATTCTCGGCTTGAGGTCATCTTAGGATCTCACCGTCCCCAAACTAGGTAACGCCGTAAAGGTCATTTGCGACCAACACACTTGTGTGGAAAAAAAATTGCTAGCATGAACCAACATCGAATTCGAATAGTTCAATACGATCTCAATACGTCATGTTTTGTTAGACGAGATGCTGAATTCTCATTACGTCAGTGTGGTGCTGTTCATATTACTATACCAAACACATACCATACACTATAATTTTTATTATTTTTACGCATTTAACTGCTTGATGTTTAAATCTAAAGAAAATATAACTAGAAAAAAATCCACGCGGACCAGGCAGCAGACGGAACTCGAACTCGCACCCTTCGCAATCCGGGCGAGTGCACTGACCAATTATGCTACCGGCAGCGCCATCTCTTCGCATTATAGGTAACCCACAATGTCAAATGAATACTTTTACAAGTATTAAACATTTGAATGAAGAAATAGCATTTATAGTTAAAATATTTATTATTTTAAAGCTTGTAACTGCTTGATGTTTAAATCTAAAGAAAATAATAACTAGAATAAATTCCATGCGGACCAGGCAGCAGACGGGACTCGAACCCGCACCCTTCGCAATCCGGGCGAATGCACTGACCAATTATGCTACCGCGACCCTCACGTACTACACTACTTCTGGCAGTCGTGTAAAAAGGCAATTCTTTTATTCTTACTTTTCATTCTAAAAATCGTTTCGAGTGTTCTTATACCTATTCCCATGAGTTTTAAAAATATTTAGGCATTTTTTCACTTACTTTTATCGTAGAGGTCATTAAAATACAGGATTGTAGTGAAACTGTTTTCTGTTCTCATGTATACTTGATAGTAGTGCATTCTACTACTGTTGTTTGTAAACGACATCATTTTTCCGGATTTCCGTGAGGTTTTCATATTTTTCCCATGATAAAGACAGATTTTAAGCCTCATACAAAAAAAATATCATAATCAGACACAATAAAATGTTTCAGGAGTATCTGGGTTAAGACCAAGGTGCCTTTACATTAAAGAAATCTCTGACATTATAGTAACCCTTGCCTAAGGAGACAAGTTTCGATACAAAGTTTAAACTTATTAAAAGATAAATTAATTAATTCCCTTGGTATTTTATTATAGTAACATATACCTTGACTCACAAACCAAGCAATAACCTTTTTAGAGTCTCAACGGTAGCAAATTTCTCATACAACTAACGTAATGTTTTGCCGCTTTTTGCTCGATATTATAATATAGTGTCTAGTGTTGTAAAAAATATTACGGAACCCTTCGTGCGCAAGTCCGATTCGCACTTGGTCGGTTTTTCACGATTCAGCGATTTTCGTTCTCTACGCAGAAAATTCTCTCGTCTGCGTAAGCCCCGTGGAGGCATTGCGGACTGGCCACTTGGGGTTGCACGATAAACTGCAGTAATACCAAAAATGTTGCCGGTAAATAATGTAATAGATGCAGCAGCGATGTAGTTAAGTAATAAAATGCAGCCGCTTGTATTATTTACAAGTTTACGTCTGTGTAGTGACGTATCGCCGCGCATTCGACTCAGCAGTTGTATTCACTGAGAACAAATTCACCAATCATACTGTAAGCAGTGTATTTACACTATCATTTAATATAATAACTTAATAATAAATAATAGGGAATAAAGGTGATTGTACTGCAGTAGAACGCTTTAAGCGATAAGGCCTCCCATTGAATCATGTGTTCTAGATGATTTTGTACTTAATGTTTCAATATTTTTTTTGTGTTCTGTACAATAAAGAGTTATTGTATTGTATTGTAGAACTACTCGGAACTAGGCATTGCAAAAGACATTGGGCAAAAATGTATGGACGCTGCACCCACGTCCGCCACGGATTAAACTACATTTACTTGAAAGGTATTATAGTCTGTGCCTGTAAACCGTTTTGAGGTACCTCAATAAGTGCAAGCGCAGGATGGTCGGCAGGCTTTGTCATATATCTGGTTGTATAGTACGATAAGGCATATTATTATGGTTACTAATAATATAAAATGAAGGTACTATAAAATAAATTTATTTAGCTACTTAAATATGCCCATGACTCATATTTTTTGACTACCAGGATATTTTTACGGTGGCATATCTTTTGACTACCAGGATATTTTTTTACGGTGTCATAATAATAAAGGCTAGATTTTCATAGATCTATCTATTCATACTATTATTTTTCTTTTTCCCCAACACACCAATTAGCCTATCCCCAAAGTAAGCACTGTAGGCTTGTGTTATGGGATACTAGGGTAACGGATAGAATACATATGTTGTACATATATAAGTTATATTTATATAGAAATACATATTACATCCACGACCGGAGTACAAATGCTCGTATTCATCACACAAACATCTGCCCCCACCGGGATTCGAACCCGGGACCTCTCGAGTCGGCGACACCAAGAAACCCGGCGTATAAACCACTCGGCAACGGAGGTCGTCAAATTACATTGTTGGCGGAGCTGGGTGTGTATTGCCCATCTCTTATCTATTAGACAAGTCCGTCCGTCCGTCTGTCTGTGGTGCTGTTTCAGCGGCCAAACCGTAAGAGATAGATAAAGAGAATATTTAAGTTATAAGTTAAGAATAGTCTGATAAGACTACAAACCGGATTTAAGTAACGTAGCACTTCCGGTTTTCGAGAAATCACGTGATTTCTATTATGTAATTATCACAATTTTAATTAACTATTTAAAACGAAACCACACAAAATCTCCGAAGTTCTCAATTATTTAATACATTTTTTAAATCAGGTTTTGGTGAACATTTGATTCACTGGTTTGCTAGTTGTCCTTTAATAATTTAACTCCGCGGTAGGACCACGAGGAAAAAGGCTTCCTTGTGGTCCCACGGTTTGCATGTTCCTCGTGAGCATTGTCTTATTTTTAGTAACCCTGTTCAGAGCATTAAGTAGGGCATGTTCACTTCATCCGGCCCAAGGGCTGGCTAAAGTGAGCTGGGAGGAGTCCCACATATTACCAGCAGCGCCATCTAGTTCCTCACGTTATCATTGATAGTCTTATTCATCATAATCATCATCATCAACCCATGTTCGTCCACTGCTGGACATAGGTCTCTCCTAATGCACGCCACTGCTCCAGATTTTGTGCTACTCTCATCCAGCCCACTCCAGCCAGCCTACGAATATCATCATCATATAGAATAGTCTTATTATTGATAGACAATTAAAAAAGCTTTCAAATTTTAACGAATTAAACTTTAAAAGCTTTTGGCAGGTAATATTTTCGTGTATACGTTGTATGTTTTGTATAACTGAATGAGACAGAAAACCCCAAAACACTTATCTCGTTCAGTGAATTTAATACCAATTGAATTACAGTAGCTCGTTTAGCGTGTGTACTCACAATAAACATTTTCTTGTCATACGCCCCTACATCGTTTGGGCAGTGTACTTGGATTCAGCGGGCAGCGAGTGAGCGTTTATTTTTGCTTATAGATTTTCTCAAAAGAAAGAAGAATGAAAGCAGCAACAGTGGGGGCATAAAAATGTTGATGATGAGGAGCATTTTATGTCCTAGAAACTGTTATTTACATTATCACATTGACGCCTTCGCGGTTTCAAATGATACGTTGTTAAAAAAAGGGACTAATTTAAGCTTACCAATATTGATAAGTTAACCGTTTCTTTCAATCATCATCATTATCGTCAACCTTTTTCTTTCAATATCTTTTCAGAAATGTAACAGAGGTGATGTTTCGTATTCATCCTACGGCGTCGCATTTAATTTCTTTACTTATCCCAAACAAGTATTCCAAATTCAACATATTGCATTATTATATTTATTTTTTTAACCCTAATGAGTTCCTTACTCATCCCAAGGCAAATATTATCAAATAATATATGTGCTTAGCAAAGCAAAGAAAATGGTAAAGGATTACAATGGCTCGTTGACTGATTTTCAGTAGGTCAATATACGCTTACATTGAGAACTCAACCTTAGGGTGTTACCAAATCAACATAAAGCAGAAACGGGACAGCCATTGTAAAAAAAATATTCTCGACAAATAAGTAAAAAATCTTGTAAGTTTATTTCCAACTACTTACTTTCATACCAATGATAATGTTTATGGAGTAGAAAATGATAAATTAAATAAATACATAACTCATTTATTGTTCAACATACATATTACATCCTCACTAAAAATACAAGCATCTAAAACTAAACTTTAAAGTAGCAACAACGATTAAAAATTACAAGGTTTTATTTAGTACCAATAGATATACCATTAGTTACAAGGTTTCGTTTAGTACCAATAGATATACCATTAGCAGCTTATGAAGTTATTGTCACAAACACTCTCGAACCAAAATCGTCCCGCGGGTCACGACGTGAATAATCTCAATAATATGTCTAGTGGTGCGGTTCATTCTAATATGAGCCTTATCAACCTTCGACAACATTATAAAAGGTTTCAATTAAATATGATTATCAAAGAAGTAGGTATAATATCTGCGCATTTAAAATATCAAATCGGTTTTTTTCTAAAACGATGTTTTTAAGTCTAAAACTAAATTTGATAAGATCATTCTAATCATGGTTTTTGAAGATGCAAAGAAACACTAAACGCGGCCAAGAGTGGTCACTATTTTAATTAGTAATTTAGTGACTCAATCTGTGGGCACTCTTAAAAGTAGATTTAAAAGAAGTCCCTCCTTTTCATCTGATAAAGACATGATTAGTGGCGCGGTTGCACTAAATATAGATAGAACTATAACAGAATTTGGCTCAGTACCTATCTGAAAATAAAGCTCTTTACCGTTTAATGAATAATTGCAAAAGTTGTACACTTAGCTATCGTAGAGTAATTGGTTGGCAAATTTGAGCTTGGTTATAAAAGCGCTCAATTGATTGTATGAATCAGTATTTTGAGTTGCTACTAAATGTTTCATTCCTTTAGGAATCATTTCTTTATCCTTACAACTTTTGCATTATCGAATCCAGCTAGTTCTTCTTTTAGGTGTACATTCTTTGGTGTAGTAAATTTTTTAGCGTCTGCCAAAGCTTTGTAGTATACATCTTTTAGATTTCTCTTTTCTGGATAAACCCTTTTTTCTGTTTCTTTACTTCTGGATTTATCAATACAGTCTTTGTCTACTTCATTTCCTTTTAAATTTTCTTTGTTTTTAAATGGCATTTCTGTTGGTAGGCCGTCGTATATGCTGACTGTACTCTTTGTATGTTTTCTGCCAAAGTTTTTAAGAAATTTTCTTTTACGACGTCTTTTCTGTTTTATGTTTGAGCTGTTTCTATATTTGTTATGTATATTTCTTTTGTGATTATCTGAAGCGTATCTTTTGTATCTGAGTGGATTGTATTTATCTTGATATAAATACGGCGACTGTTAAAAGAAACATAATATTATTTCATTTATGTTCTAACGAAATTAGATGGGCATTTGTGAACCTTTCTTCCATTTATCCCAATTATCGATTTGATTATGGGTTAAAGCGGAATAAAAGTTCACAATCCCCCATTGTTGCAGCGTGTCAGTGGAGATTAGAGGAATAATCCAACTATTAAACAAAATTATTTAGTTATACTCCAAAGAGAATGAAAAAGAGAGACTGATTTTTTTTTAGTTTTGAGTTAAGAGAATCATCTTAAGAAATAAAGTATTATTAGAAAAGATAAATGCTTAGAAATCAATAAAACATATCTTAAGAAATGTATATTTATATTATTATATTACCTTTTTTCATCGCGGTGCTAAAAATTATTTTAAAGGATACTGATACAAAATTATAATAACTCAAAGATTCTGGGTAGTTCAAGCTTCATGTATCACGCAAGCACGGCATACGTCAAACCACACCGTCTCCGACCAGCAGCCTGGTCTGCACCCGCTTTAGCCGATCCTGGGCTTCTCCGTTCACAGCGTCACCTGACTAGTCTCACGGACCGCAGCCCGAGCGGCTAGCCAGCCGACCAGCTCCCGTACCTACCAGGTAAACCAACTCCCTGATCTACCCCTCGCCCTCCAGGCATAACTGCGGGATCCAGTTATGAGTTGCCGTTTGTTACGCCTGACCAATGCCTGAGCCTGGAACATTCTGCGGAGTACTGGAACCTTACTCAATGACAGAAACCCAACACCACCAAAAGGTGTTATTTTACTGTGATCTTCTGTGAGGTGGAGATTATATTCCCAGGCGGGCTCCAAATAGATCGAAAATCCCGCTATATGCTCTACATCTTTTTTAGTTAGGGCATGTGAAAAGCTTCACATTTAGTTAATGTCAATTATAAGAACAGAAACTATTTTAAATTTTATAGTGAGTGTGCTCGCGACTTCGCGTGTGGTTTGATTGGTCTCCTATACAAACTCCCACCCTCCCTTTTAACCCGTCAAAAGTGGAGATTAGAGGAATAATCCAACTATTAAACAAAATTATTTAGTTATACTCCAAAGAGAATGAAAAAGAGAGACTGATTTTTTTTTAGTTTTGAGTTAAGAGAATCATCTTAAGAAATAAAGTATTATTAGAAAAGATAAATGCTTAAAAATCAATAAAACATATCTTAAGAAATGTATATTTATATTATTATATTACCTTTTTTCATCGCGGTGCTAAAAATTATTTTAAAGGATACTGATACAAAATTATAATAACTCAAAGATTCTGGGTAGTTCAAGCTTCATGTATTGTATAGTTTTACTTGATAAAATGTCTGTCCATGTTTAGCCAAATTCCCATACAAAGTGGGCCCTTTGGCTCCAAATCAGTCGAACGAACATTAAAATTTATCCATGGTCTATGACGATATACGTGATTTGACGGATGAGTAGACCTTTCACCTCAGTGCTGCCACCTGGTGCCCGTCATTCCAGAAAACCCTCATTCAGAGAATTTGTACCCCTAGCATGAACCAATATCGAATTTGAATAGTTTGAGAGTCCGAAATGTCATTGTCAAATTTTGTACGGAAACTTGAACAGCAGCGCCATAACGTACGTAACGAGAACTAAAAATCAGTTCACATTTGACAATGTCATTTCGCACTCTCAAACTATTCGAAATCGATATTGGCTCGAGCTAGGGGTACAGGTTTCAAATAAACCCATTACCGTTCTTAAATTAACTTCGGAATGACACCAACGAACCATAATAATGTATTTCAGCTAATTTCGATATACTTACTTTGTAATCGTCATAGTTGGCAAACTGCTTATGTAGGTACTGGAGTTGGTTTTCTAGATACTCCTTAACGCCTGTCATTTTGCTCTGAAAATGTATTTTTACCATTTAACTAAAATATCAGGTATGTACAACGAATTAGAAATGATACACTTATTTTTAGTAAATTCGTTGATTGTCTATTGTTACATATTTGACATTATGTGATGGAAGTTGAACTTTTAATTGGATGACACTGTATGAAATAAAACAGGGGAAAAAGCAGCCCTTGCTGAGTTTCTTGCCGGTTCTTCTCAGGAAAACGTCTCCCGCCGTAGATTTGCGAACCGATGGCGTAGCTTTTCGACATTCACAAGTGCTTGTAATAGCCTAGACTGAATAAACGATATTAAATTTTGTATTTTTGAATATTACGTCATTACTCTCTAATTAAAGCCGCCAAAACTTGGTTACAATCTCAAACAACTTAACTTCTCGACGGAACTTTTGTAAATATAAAATCGGTTTTATGAAACAAAACATACACAGGCTCATATACAAGGTAAATACAATTTGCACAGAATTAAAGATACCTTGTCATCTTCACTCATCTCTTCGTACTGCTGCATCAGATCTTCAACAGCACGAATGGTGCCCAAGCAGTCTGACCTGGTGTCAGCATGGATATCTTCCCTCTCACTCGACGACGGCGGGTAAGATGGTAGAGCTTAAAAGTTTTTGAAATCGCAGCCTTAATTTTTGGACTCATAACTAGTGTTGCCAAGTCCGATTGTTTCAAATCGGTACATGAGGTCAATAAAGTCGGGGCTTAGGGTTGCAGATCGGGACAATAGATAAACAAAAAACAAGGGTTTTTTAAGTCTGGATTTAATTTATTGCGTTTTTAACTACTAGTGCAAGTAAAGTATTAATATTAATTACCTAAATTAAATTTTTTGATTAATCGGGACACTTAGCTCGATCAGGTACAAATCGAGACGCGTCCTCAGACCCCTAAAAATCGGGACTTCCTGCGCAAATCGGGACACCTGGCAACACTACTTATAACCCATTGTTTTATGTTAGAATGGTGGCAAAGAAGCGTATTGTCCACCTGGTAAATGGTAAGCGGCCACCATAGGCTACAGACGCTTGCGATCCCAAAATATCACTCGCACCAATGCCTGAGCCTTTTTTTTTCGATGACGGGAGAAAAAATGCATTATATCCACGACAATGACCAACGCCGCGTTGGTTTGCTGTCAACAAACTCTCGCGACACAGATAAATGCGTGGTGCATTCGGCAAGCGGCGAGCAGCCCGAGGGCCGCTAGTCGGAGCGGGTATACTTTGACGTGCACTCACGCAAGCGTGGCATACGTTAAACAACACCGTCTCCGACCAGCAGCCCGGTCCGCACCCGCTTTAGCCGATCCTGGGCTTCTCCGTTCACAGCGTCACCTGACTAGTCTCACGGACCGCAGCCCGAGCGGCTAGCCAGCCAAACAGCTCCCGTACCTACTAGGTAAACCAACACCCCGATCTACGCCTCGCCCTCCAAGCGTAACTGCGTAACAAGCGGCGACTCATAACTGGCTCCCAGTTATGAGTCGCCGCTTGTTACGCCTGACCAATGCCTGAGCCTGGAACATTCTGCGGAGTACTGGAACCCTACTCAATGACAGAAACACAACACACAATAGTACTCGTATATGTATTCTATCCGTTACACTAGTATCCCATAACATAAGCTTTACAATGCTTGCTTTGGGCTAGGCTAATTGGTGTGAGTGTTATACCAGGTAAACCAACTCCCCGATCTACCCCTCGCCCTCCAGGCGTAACTGCGGGATCCAGTTATGAGTCGCCGTTTGTTACGCCTGACCAATGCCTGAGCCTGGAACATTCTGCGGAGTACTGGAACTTTACTCAATGACAGAAACTCAACACTACCAAAAGGTGTTATTTTACTGTGATCTTCTGTGAGATGGAGATTATATTCCCAGGCTGGCTCCAAATAGATCGAAAGCCCCGCTATATGCTCTACATCTTATTTGGTTAGGGCATGTGAAAAGCTTCACATTTGGTTAGTGCATATGAAAAGAATGTCAAATAAAAGAACAGATAAACTATTTTAAATTTTATAGTGAGTGTGCTCGTGACTCCGTCTGTGGTTTGACTGGTCTCCCATACAAACTCCCACCCTCCCTTTTAACCCGTCAAAAGATAAGTTCTGGAATTCAAAATATCCAATGTCCTTTCTCCGCACCAAATTCACTTGAATCTGTTAAGCGTGAAGAGGAAACAGACAAAAAGAGACACTTTCGCATTTAATCATCATCATCATCAGCCTATTAATGTCCCCACTGCTGGGGCACAGGTCTTCCCTATGGATGGAATAGGGAGATTGGGCCATGACCCACCACGAGGGCTCAGTGCGGATTGGTGGGTGCTCCACTGCAAATGCAGCCGGGACCAACGGCTTAACGTGCCTTCCGAAGCACCGAGGAGCTCGAGCTAGTAAATTTTTGGTCACCCATCCAATGATCAACCACTGCGAAAGTTGCTTAACTTCAACGATCGCAGCCGAACGCGCTAACCACCTGCGCCATCGACCTCCTCTTCGCATTTACAATATAAGAATGGATTCAGATTCTTTAAGTAACTACGCCATCCAAAACCTAATTTCGATTCTAAGTAAACTAGACGAGATAAATCATTGCATTGTAACGAACCAATATCTTCGTCATGAGTGTCCATTCTATAAGATCTAGTTTCCATGTTCTCCGAATCCGCTGACGTCAGCCAATCCAAAAAGTCCTGGAGGTCTGGTGGCAATCCTAAGGGAACGTATGAATGCTTCTAATTATAAACAAATAATGATATAGGCAAGGTTCATCGGTTGGCTTTTAGCGGACAGTATACCGTAAGCGCTCGTAAGCCGCGCGGACTGCTTAACGGCTTCTCCGTTTCGCAGCCGTGAGAGAGACTAAGTGTGAGCTCTGTTCATTGGTGTGCCCCTTAGGGATTCCAACGTCTTTAAATCTATACAGTATTGTAACTCGGCCCTGTCCTTGAAATAACTGCCTACGGCCGAGCGGGGCGTATCCATGCGATATACCGTATATATATACCGTATTCCACCTAGGCCGCCTACAGTATTTTAATTTAATCTACATAATTGAGTTTCTTTCTAGTTTTGTGATTGTAAATATTTTATTTCATATGTAAAAAAATGTGAATGAATTACGAAGTGTTACATAAAATACATGTTATTTTAAGTGTTATATTTGATAATAGAAAATATAGGTTTGAGACAGAATAATATTTACGCCTCGACTGAGACGTACGAAAAGCTTTATTATTAAATTAAATAGTATAATAAATACGCATTCGTATAAAAAGTTTAATTATTGAAGAGTTCAAGCAACCAAAAACAGCACAATATCGACTATTGCTCTTTGTCATATGAAATTTTATTGGTATCTACTTAATTATAAGAATTTTACTCGAAATTGAATTGAATTTTAAAAGTTGTTTTGACAATTGCTCATAGATGATAGACGGGTCGTCCACTCCCAAACATGTGTCTATGATTTGTTTCCCACTTCAACTGAAGGCAAAGGCCACAGTCAAACAGACAGCCGCCGCATTCGAGACGAACCGAAGAATAAACTCAAAACTATATACCTACGCTCGCCGTAAGCTGAGGAAAAAGGAATACCTACCCAAATCAGCGAGGAAATTCAATTTCGAGTAAAATTCAAAATCGATTAAAAACAGCACCCGATAAGGAGGACTCAAATCGATCTGGGAAAAACTATTCAAAATTCAACAACTGTCAAACTCCATCCATTCATCCACGCGCCCCCACAGAGATTCACTGCCTGATTACTTTTTTTTTTTTTTTTTTTTTAAGTCTCAAGTCGAATATTTAGTCGAATAGGAAAATCGACTCTTCCCTCAAGGCTACCAACCCAATCAATGAAGTTTGACAGCTACGCTGACGTAAGCGGTTCGCTATCATAGACAAAACAGCTGTCCTACGTGTGCCAGTGCCACGCTCTGTTCAAAAACAAACACTACAACGGCTAACTGCTTAAAAAACAATTCACACCGTTCGGTCGTCGCTGCGGCGCATTAGCGACTGGATGCCCACCGGGTGCCGCGCGAACTCGAGTGGCGTAGGTATGACTCGCTTTGCGACCGTTTGTATGAAGTCAGAATACTGTATAGATAATATTACCGTGTCGTCAGTGAAAACTGAAAGACGGGTGTAATGTGGAAGGTAAAAGACCATGTGTTCGGTTACCTATGACATGGACTGATCAAATCAAATGCTGCTATCAATGAATGATATGGATGCATTATTCTCTAAAACCGGGGGTCTCCAGCAAAAGCTTTTTGAAAACATTCAACAAAAACACATACACAAAACTTTGTTTCAGAAACATGTTTCTCTACACACGCCGTCTACTGCTCACGTGGCTGTCGTACTCAAAATACACAGGAGAGAAAATGTTAAATTTGACAAAAGTTACGTACGTATTTTATTTCAAAATTGAAAAATCTGAAACATCATAGTGAAAAGTTGTACTTGGAGTGTAGGATTGGAACGGAGCCCCGCGCTAGCGCGTTGTCAAATAAACGGCTGATGATACAATAACCTGCTCCTCGACCTGCGCTGGGGGATTCCGTAATAGTTCCTGTAAAAATAAATAGCAATCAAATACTTATTATTCACAATTATAGTAATTTCTAATATAAGTAATTGATTTAAAAACATTGTTGTTGTTTATTAGTGATCAATAAACATTTATGTTTGTGTTAAATATTTTTATTACTTGAAAGAATTTTAAATTGTCATAAAAAAAATTAAAATCACTAATTATTTTAAGTGAATTATAAGTTATTTACAAATGATTAATATTTTGTGTTCAGTAATTTATTACTTAATACGTTGATTTTTTTAAATATAAAGTAATCTCAATAAATAACAAATATCGTTTTATTTTAATTTATATAATTATATAACATATTTATTAATGACAAACACGTTATGCAGTGATTTTATAAAATAAAAAATATTTCCTAAAGATATCTACCAAAACGTTTCTAGCCTAGACCTAGTAGGATCCATATCGGAAAGTAGTGTGCGTCGTGATCAAATAATATTCCATACGCGTCATGGCTTTTCTTCATTGCCACAACGCGTTAAGATTGAATAGCATGTCAGCCACGACACGAATTTTGCTATTAGGTCTTTCTGTGATTGCCACAATGCGTCGTGTGCGTTTTCATTAGAGCCATAATACGAACTTCGCCATGTGGATGTTTTACTGTGACTAGGGTTACCATATCTCAGGATTTGTCCTGAGATTTCAGGATTTTTGGTCTCTTCTAAGGATTGCGGCTGGATTTTGCAAATCTCATGAAATCTCAGGATTTTTTGAATTTCCAATAAAATATAGCTTACGTTTTAAAGATCTCTTTAACAAAAAGTTGAACAAACTAAAAATAATTACACAATTAAAATCAGTAATTTATTATCCAAGTTAATCTTAACTTAATCAGTTTTATCATACTTAATATGTGAAAATACATTGTTAAGTAAGGTTTTTTTTCTTTAATTATGGATTCATATAATGCCCTACATGTTAAGCTCTTCAAATTATATTGATTTAAAAGTATAAGCAGAGTATAAACGATAATATTACGTCTTTTTTAAATGGTTAAGTAGTACGTTTGAGAGAAAATTCTCAAACTGTAAAAAATCTCAGGATTTTTCAATGGAAATCAAGCCTTTTCTCCGGACTTTTGATTTTATCATCTGGTAACTCTAACTGTGACTACAACGCGTTGTGAGCTATTTTTCCGCTCACTGAGCGTTTTCGATCTTTGAGCGTAACATATATAGGTATATCATCAGATTAGGCTTGAAAAGCAAAAAAAAATGTTGATACAAACAAAGTTTTGTGTAGACGATTTTATTGAGCGTTGATATGTTTTTGTTGAGTGTGTAGGGCAAAAGACGCGCTAGAGACCAGGCTTAGCAAAGGCCGCTAAAATGTTTCCATACTCATACAACTAAACTACAATACAAATGCGACATACGCACAGACAAAAGAAAATACTTTACAAATATACATACAATATATAAAATATCAAATATCTGCAAAAAAAAACGGGTATTCATTCATTGGGTAAAATAATGTTACAAGGAAGTCCCAACCAATTTCATGATTGGCGTATTGGCGTGCATTTCCAAATGGCGCCACGTGTGGGTGGTGAAAATTAGAACTACATTTTTCGTCTCTTTTTCTGTTTACAAAACAATGGTGACAAAGGTATAGATTAAAAGTGCTTCCAAGGAGGTTCAAAAAAATTTACAAAAAATCCTAAATTAATCGCACCGCATGGCGGCATGTGTGGGAGCGTGTGGTAAAATGTTTTATCGCTCGCCCCGTTGTATGGCTCGTAATTTTAAATTTTCGAACAATGTATACAACCTCCGTAAATGCATTTTTCGAGCAAATGTGTTGCAAAATGTAATACCATATATTTTAAATCGGTTCGAGAATGCAACGCGATCTAAAGTATGCTGTGTGCGTTACTGCGCCTAGTCACATGAGTTCTATTCTTTTTGGGGACTCCCGCGTACTTTTGCACAGTCCGGTCTCTCGGTGTCCTCGGTGGTTCGGGGGAATTTTCGTACGCGGTACTTTTAATCTGTCACGTACTTAGATTAAAACAAAAAGGGAAGATACGGTACGCTCATACTAGCATCTAATAAAATATGCTCCGACTCAACTACATAAGCAACACACACACACGCACACGTCTGTAAATAAAAATTCAATCGAGCGAGTGAGACAGAACTTTACGCTTCAACGCAGCGCGAGCGAAACGGCGAGTCCGCGTCCGAGTCCGCACGGCTGAACTGTATTGTTGTCCTTTTCTCGATAACTAATGGCGATTACGTAAATAACATTCACGACAAACCATTATATTTGAAAAATAAAAAGTTTTTACAGTTTTACGAATGAAAAGTGTTGCCGTGGCATTTGTTATTTGATCTTGAACTATTTATGTTCTTTATAAAACCATCGAAGACATTGTTTTATCTTTATAACACAGAATATACGCAATATTGTCATATTGAGTGCACATGCAGCGTGTTTGAATGCCCAATTGTGACTAAAGCGAATTGTGTTCGTGCACCACAATTTAAGCGGCTCACTATTGGGCCGCGAGTGCCGTATCTTCCCTTTTTGTTTTCTAAGGTCGCGTATGTTACTCGATGCCGTATTGTAAGCGATCTATTTCGGCAGACGAAAGACCTTCGTCTGCGCAGGCTATTAGGATGCAGAAACTAAAACGAATTATGAATAAATAGATACATACTCAAACAAGTCTTTTGCTGCACTTGGAAGTCTATCACATCTGACATTAAATGAATCAGCTGCTGCATGAGAGACGTGCTTAGTTCGTCATCTTTGTCATTCTGGCGAACTAGAGAATGCAGAAGAAACATTAGTTTGTAATAGCTAATATTCGTTTATAAGGAGCTCGATAGTGCTGGTGGCTGGCGCATTTGGCTGCGATCGTTGAAGTTAAGCAACTTTCGCCGTGGTCGGTCATTGGATGGGTGACCAAAAATTTATTTTCTCGATTTCGGAAGGCACGTTAAGCCGTTGGTCCCGGCTGAATCTGCAGTTGTTAGCATCCACCAATCCGCACTGGGTCCACGTGGTGAGTCATTGCTCAATCTCCCTATTCCATCCATAGAGAAGGCCTCTGCCCCATCAGTGGGGACATTAATAGGCTGATGATGATAAGCTAATATTCAAACTACATTTTAATTTGAAAATTGAGTATCGTATAAACATCATTATTTTATTATCAAAAACATTGCAGTGCTTATACTAACTATTCAGTCAGAAGGTTGAAGTCAATTTAACAGTAAAACAACACTCACTTTTGGTGGATTTTTCTGTTCTGTCAGCGAGTAAGATTCCAGGGCAACACCGGGTAGAAGATTGAGTCAAGGTAGGCAACGGTGTGAGTGACATTTTTAGTACAGCAAGCATCAATAGGCTCTGATGGATTATGGATATCATCATCAACAGCCTATCTTAGTCCACTGCTGAACATAGGCTTCTCCAAATCCACGCCACTCAGATCGATCTTGGGCTACTCGCATCCAGCTCCTGCCAACCACCTGGCGCAAATCGTCACTCCATCGCGCCTGAGGACGTCCTACACTACGTTTGCCTAGACGCGGTTCCCACTCCAGCCCCTCTAGCATGACCACCGAAACGGGATATGATAAAGCGATATATCGACATTAACTGTCAGACTACTGTCTAACTCCATAGTAGTCTGACAGTTAATGCCGATATATCGCTTTATCATATCCCGTTTCGGTGGTCATGCTAGAGGGGCAGAACTCAATATATGGATATCAAGTATAATAAAATAGTTTATTGTAATATAAAAGATTTTCTACCTTTCTTTTCTAAAGTCAATGTTTCTGTAAGAACGGAACGCAATGAAGTACCAACAAAATGTCTATGTCAAACGTCATTCAGTCGCCGGCGTTGGTTTTGTTTGAATATCACTGAAGAAATCTAATCTAATCTTTCGTTTAAATTTTATTTATTTTTACGAACACTGTTATTTTAATAAAAATGACTACAAAACGGGAAATAGGTAGTAATTTTACGCGAGAACAATGTGATCGTAAAAAAATTCAGCTCGTTAATGAAAATAAACACGCGTTGGAAAATAATCGTCAATATCATCTTTAATAAGATCAAAAATATCCATTTTAAATTAAAAAAGAATATGGTTTTTGATGAAAATCTGGAAATGTCGTATTTGAGGTTATGTTCTTTTACATTTACTTGTCAAGTAAACGGCTACTTGACAGTGCACAGATTAAGTGTTGATTAACCCTACTGAACCCCTCTAGCATCACCACCGAAACGGGATATGTTAAAGCGATATATGGGCATTAACTGTCAGACTACAGTGGAGTTTGACAGTAGTCTGACAGTTAATGCCGATATATTGCTTTATCATATCCCGTTTCGGTGGTCATGCTAGAGGGGCAGGGATTGTGAAACGTAAATAATTGTTTACTGAGCAAATAAGTTCGAAGTAGACTACTTAGAACTTTACTCAAAGATTGTGAATGAGGCACGTAGTGCAATTAATTGTAAATTGTTTGGCAAATGGCAAGTGTATTTTTTGTTACCAAAGCATCAAATATATTTTATTTAATAGGTAACTAAAGGGGTGATGATTATTCTGTTCATCTTTCATAACATTATTAGATATTTTGTGCGTTTTTTATTTCAAGCAGAGTCAACCATAAATTGGTATAAAGCTTACACCACGATTTCAAGAATATCATGCATGTGTGGACTAATTGACATTTACCATAGTGATAAAGTTGACTTATAAGCTGCCATACACTAAAAATATGACGTTATTTATGACAGAGTGGCCAGCATGCTTACAAAACTGATCAATTTTTAAACACGATTTAAAATAAATCGGGGATAAATAAACATTAAAAGTATCTTTCAATGTTATGATAAAAAAAAGCTTTCAAATGATATACGTTTCATTGCTGCCGGAAACCGACCATCACTTTTGAACCATCTCCTTTAGCTTTCCATTGAATCATCAATTTGCTAATAATCCTAATCCAACAAGGTGGACTGACGACATCGTCAAATGTGCTGGGAGCCACTGGATGCGAATAGCGCAGGACCGCGCATTGTGGCGTTCTATGGGGGACGCATATGTCCAGCAGTGGACGGATAAAGGCTAATGGATGGATGATGATGATACATTTGCATTAATAAAAATCACCTTTAACATTTTTCGTCTGTTGAACTGCTTTCGCTGCTTCCTTACAGACCTTTTTCATTTTTTGCGTTAATTTCTCGAAACTGTTAAACTCGTCCTTGGTTTCTTCCTGAACAAATCAACCATAATTTTAGGAAACTCACCAGCTTAACCAGCCTTTTTTTATTAACATCTTCAAACAAGCACGGTGTTCCCTCAGTACTATAATGTAGGCAGCATGAAGTTTAATTGGAGTGTAAAATAAAGTCTATACCGCAACAAATGATGTTCAAAGACAAGAATAGATATATATAAAAAAAGAGAAAGGACGTCATCTAAGAAAAGTCAGGGAACGAAAAATAAGCTAAAGTTTTAGTATTGTGTATATATTTTATGATATTAGAATAAATGTTATGTTTATGCAAGGTGAGTTTTAATACAGGGATTATTTAATATTGTGAAAGTAACGCCGACACAGCTCGGATGATTACAATAACACCCTCAAGTCCTCTTCAAGGGAGGCTTAAATGGAGTTTTCCACGAAAGGTAGTGGCACAGCTGTTTCACTAGAGTTGCTGATGTCAATAGGCGACGGTGACCACTTAACATCAGGTGGCCCATCCGCTTGCCTTCGAAGGCAATAAGAAAAAAAACCTGTTCTCTGTACATTTAAGATAAATCTATTTAACTTACTTCTTCATTTACACTCCTCTTTCGAAAACGCTTCTGTTTATATTTTGGATAACCACCAGATCTACAAAGCAAAACCTAATTAAAGTTTGAAAAGCAAATATAAGGCTTAATTTACTAGTGTCACTAAACAGCTTTTCTAAAAATTTAACCAGTTAGTAAAATTCAACTCACCCACAGTGCTGGGGCGAATGCATTGATCTTTTACGTGTTGAACTTTTAATGGTGCCTTTTTCACCTCGAATGTTGTTAGCGATGTTCATTACTTTTTCGTGAATCCAGTTACTAGATTTCTTCACGAGGTCTAAACCTCTGGTGTTGGGTTGTTTAGCTTTCATGGTATTGTCTACAGGGTCCAAATTGACTCCATACTCATCGTCGTATATATCATTCCAGAAAATCAAATTGCTATCAGCATTCGCATTCCTTTTGGCGAATGTTTTATTGTCAGCAACTGTTGGCTTACTTCCAATAGAAGTGGTTATGACAAAATCATCAATACTTGGTAAACTCTGTGTGGTCGTATCAACAATTGTGCTTATAATGACTGTTGTTAATTTTAAAACATTATTCACATCTGAAAGTAGTTCCTCTTATGAATAAGTACACAAATTAAATAATACAGTTTTGGTAATATTTCAAAACTAATTTTATAAAACACTTTATTCAGAATTTGTTAATATTTTAAGTTTTACCTTGTTGATAGCTAATTCTGTCATTCTCATTTTTTAAACCTGTTGTATCATAACTAGCAGTGTTTTGTTTCAAATCATCAATTGACATAAGTACTCTTGATCTGTGTCCTATATTTTCAATCATATTAGAATTATAACTGGGATATAAATTATCAGTAGGTTTATTTTTATCAAATGTTTCTTCAGATCTTACTAGTCTTGTCGGAACAAATTGCATTACACTCGAGCTGTAACATAATGTCTTATCTTGTATATTATTTACAATTCTTTTAATGTTCACTTATTATATATCACAAAAAGAATAACATTTCTAAATAGACTTACTTATTTTTTATTGTTTTGCTATCTACACCAAGAGCAGCTAGTTCAGTAAACCAATTAGACACCGTCATAAAAAAATCACTTAAATTTGTGCTATGGCTTTGTTTACTCTTTTTTATATTGTCGATGTTGATATCAAGTACCGCTTTTAGGAAATCAGACGTATTGGATTCATTTTCCTTTTCTTTTGTTTCATTTGCTTTATTTTGTTGACGTATCAAATCTTTATTTTCTACATCTTTTGTTTCATCTGTTGATAGTAAAGTCCTCGATTTCACTTTATTGTAGTGAACTGACAAACTGCTCTCGTCTTCGCCATTATTTTTACTGAGCGTTTTAGTCTCTGATTCGAAACTGCCTTTTCCATGGACAGTACTGAATAGCGCAAAGTCAGGGCTTACTGGTAGTAAAGATGACGTCACACCCGCTAAAGGCTTAGTCAATTTTGCGTCATTATTTACAAACTTGACATGATTGCTCAAAGATTTTAGTATATCTAAATTGGGCTCTATTGTGGATACCTCTGATGGCTTTATTTCAAAACGAAATCCTTCCGATGTACCTGTGTAAAAGATTTTAACGATACTTATACAAAACAGTTTTAATGTGTTTTCATCAATAATGTTAATTGTGTCTATTGAAGTTAATAGCTTAAAATATGTGTCGTTTATCTATTATATCTAAAGGTACAAAATTCTTTAAATCGTTTCATTTTTTATTGACATATATCTGAACTTTAAGTTTTAGCGAAGAAATCAAGTAATAATAATCAAACATTATAATTACCTTTACCTTTTTTAAATCTATCAAAGAATTTATGCTTCCACGATTTTTTTTTACTTATCGATTTTTTTATAGGCTTAGGTTTCATAGTGCCTTCTCGATTCTTTTCAATTTCTTTCCTTAAAGACGCTTTTTTATCAGTAAGAACCCCGTAGTCACTATAAGCTTGAGCCATTTTCGCTAACCTCTCATTCTTATGATCTGCGTAATTTTCTATATATTCCATATCGTTAAGGTCACTATCTTCTAACACCTCAGCAGTTTCTTTAGATTCAGGTACTTTTATTTTATTTAAATGAAGTGCATGGAGATTTTGAATGGCTGCTTGTTTTATCATAGAAATCAATTCATCCGGATATAGAGGCATTGGTCCTTTCCAGTTTTGATTGTGCAATCCCAGTGATGGATGTGCAGGATACGGGTGCGTAGTTGGTAAACTCATTGGATATTCCTATCAAATGAACAAGTATTTCACGGTAAACGTACTAGTCTACCAATGAATTTGTCAGAAAATGCAATAAACCTGTGAAAGTAGGAACCATAAAAAATGCCTAACGTCAAGTTCTGACTTCACTATCATCAAAATCAATCATCACTATCATCATTCACTATCAAAGTTTTAGTTTACTTCTTATCGATTGAATTTCATAATTCCATTTATTTATCGCTATTTTTTAACTAAGTACCCTGTAATCTAAATTTTTTTTGACTAGGTTATAACATTGGGATAGAATTTCTAGAACTTAGATAATAATGTATTTTAATACAGGCTTTCTCAAGATCAATAAATTCTGTAACAATACCTCCATCCTCTTCCTCCTTTCTTTACCTTCTTCTTTCTCATCCCGAGTCTCGATTTCATCAGCAAGAACTTCATTGAGGTCTTCATAACCTAATCCTTCTTCATAATCTTCCTTAGTTTGTAGCAGTTTTCGCAAGTGTACTGCACTTTGTAAATTATTTAAAGAAGCAGATTTCTTTTCATCTTTCTTTAGAGCTGGATTCCTAAAATTAGTTATTTTTGGTATTACAAATTTATAGTTAAAAAATCTCAATGTAGACGATGGTTAAGATAATATTTTTTTCTTACACAATAGTTGAGACGCTTAGCAATACATCATAATAAGGCGACGTGGGTGTTGTCACTTTTGATTTCTTTTTAGTGGGCGTAATAAAGTTATCAAGATCCCTGTCCAATTCTCCGTCAGTCTTGATCGGTTCTAAACGTTCTTTATTTACTTCATCTCTATCACCTTTCATTTTAGTCATTTGCATTTCCAAGGGATTATTGAGTCTTTCACCAAGCTTCTCTTTGTTATCTTTAAATAGAGTATCGACTTCAAAAGGATCGGCCATAAGTTCAGGTAAGTTCTTATCTAAAAGCTGATCTAATAATTCATCAAGTCTTTGCGTATTCTTATAGAACGGGTGTTTCATTTGTTTTTCGTGTGATTTCGATTCCTTTGGCACGTGTGAACATTTAGGCACCTTCCTCACATTATTGTTCGGTTTATATTGAACTACAATTTGTTTCTTTTCAATGACATAGCCAGTCGGCTCATCAGTACCGTTGGCGAATCTCTTGACCTTTGGGATCGCAGCTGAAGAATTTACGAGCGGTGGAAAATATAAATTGAAATTGCTTCCATTGAATCTGGCTTCTGTGCTGGATCGAAGCATTTTATCGGCAGACCGTAGCACCCTTGAGTGATTAAGTCTGAACGACCGTTTCCTCCTATCAGTGAGAAAGTTGAATTTGTCATTTTCCAAATAGGTGGATGAAATGTCATTATTATTATTAATCTTTAGGTTGCGTATCTCTTCCTCAGTCTTCACAAGTTTTTTGTAGAAATCTGTTAAAAACATACTTTGGTAAATGTTTAGGTCCAGCTCAAAAATAAATTTAACCCTAATAGAATTTTTAATGCTTTCTTGTTTCCAGTAATATCATATTAGAATCTTGCAAATATTCATTAAGCTTATTTCAATATTTAAGAATAGGATCATAATCACCCCGTAACTTCTCGCTGCCTGCATTGATCTTGTTAATGTCCAATATAGAAGAAAGCTGGTTGTCAGACTTCAAGCCTATTTCTTCAGTCTGAAAATTAATATCCTTATTATAATCGTTTTAATTATTGAGATTTTCTTTACTTATAAATAATAGCCGTGTCGAATTTACTCTTTTTTAGTTCCACCATGATAGCGGAAAGTGTAAGTCCAAATAATCATCATTTATTCAGTTCAGGCTGTTACAAGCACTTATAAATGTCTAGAAGCAGCGCCATTGGTTGGTAAATCTACGGCGGGAGACCTTGAACTGATAAGAACCGGCAAGAAACTCAGGAAGGGCTATTTTTTTCTCCCTATTTTATTATTCATACAGTCGTCAAGTAGAAAACTGACTTCAGAAATGATTCATGAAGTCACCTTTCATTAAACCTATACATGAATCGCCTAATCGGTGAGCTCAGCAGTACACATACAGGTTGTTATATTGATGGAGTTTGCTTGAACAATATAAACTATGCAGACGATGTGGTGCTGCTGAGCCCATCGATTGGTGGTCTAAGAAGACTTGTAGCTATCTGTGAGTCCTATGCGGTGGCTCATGGGCTCAAGTACAATGTGAAAAAAAGTGAGCTCATGATATTTAAATCGAACTCCATTAATTACTCGGATGTCCCTGGAGTGTCACTTTGTGGTAGTTCTTTATGCTGGGTGAACAAGTTTAAGTACTTGGGTCATTGCGTCACCGATGATCTCAAGGATAGCATCGACATAGAGAGGGAGCGTACGTCACTGGCTGTGCGATGTAATATGCTGGCCCGAAGATTTGCACGGTGTACGGATGCAGTAAAGGTCACTACTCTTTTTAAGACTTACTGCCAATCATTTTATACTTGCAGGCTTTGGACCAACTATACGCATCGGGCATACAGCGACCTGCGTATTCAATATAACAACGCCTTCAGGATACTGTTGAGACTGGCGCGGAGGCGCATACGGACGACTTTTATGCCATTATTAGAAAGAGGTCCGCTTCCATGCTCGCTAGGCTCCGCTCTAGTACCAACAGCCTCCTGAGAGTGTTTAATGACCGGTGGGACACTCCTCTGCTACGACACTGGGTGAACCTCCATATTCAAAAGTAATATTTTATGTAATTGTTAGATTTTATTTAATTTACAACAATATGGTGCAATATGAATAAATTTAAGAATAATTAAAACAAAAAATATACTATAACAATGAACCTAAAACTAAAAACCTTAAAAAATAAAATATAATAACTAAAATACATTATTAAAAGGAGTCCCTTTAGGCAAGGTTCCGAAGATACTGGCAGCGTTCCCCCTTTGGATAGCTAGACTTATTCTTTGTCCGAGGTAGCTGCCAGCTCTTCGGTCTCCTGTGATGTCGACTAATCTTTTCGCTATTTCTTTAAAAAGCCTTATAGCGCTAGGACCCCACGGACCAAGGGTCTCGACACCGAATGGGACAAAATCATATTCGGAGCCTAGACCCCGAAATAGTAGTAAATATATCAAATTAGTTAGGGCAAACTTATCTCCGCTGGCAGCACCCGTTCACGAGCTTGATGCATGAACTAGCCATCGCTTCGCTCAACCATACTTTAGATAACGTAACGACCCGCCTCACACGACATACTCAATCACAATACAGTCTAAGACCTAGCGAAGCAGCTGGGTACCTAGATGAGCAGCTAGGTTAAGTTAGGTTAGGATAGACTAATATAAGTGTGAAATGAGTTACGATGTATCTCTGTTTGTTAACCTTTCACAATGAGAGTGCGTCATTATTGTCCATCCTATAATAGCTTACATATTTTATAATGACTGAGTAGGACACGACAATTATAACGATTAATCGACTATCCAGTTTCATCCGCATTAATTTGAGGAAAAAGGGAATTGTTTGTCTCCGTAAAAGATAGACATAATGGTTTCACGTACTTTTTCTATATAAAAGTACGAAAAATACATATGTATATTTTTTTTCTTAGAATCACTTTTTCCGTCGATTCCTACAGTTAAAATGTAATAAAAAAATTCCAACCGGGAAAATAAGAGAGTGACCTATCAGCAGATACGGGCAAGCCTAGGCATTGGTATGAGTCAAGTTTAAAAAACACACGTTTAAATTACACGAACATTTAGGCGTCAGATACTTTTTCTATATAAAACTTTGGCAGGGGAATACTTTCGTCATCATACATGATTTTTGTCCGTCCGTTTACACAGCGCACGCAACGAAAGAAATCACAAATGCAATATTTTTTCACATTTTAGCAATTTTTTTCTGAATGAACTGCAATTGATTGTAATACACTATTATGCACAAAACATTATTTTTTAATCGTATCAGTAGTTTCTGAGATTAGCGCGTTCAACCAAACAAACAAACTCTTCGGCTTTATAATATTAGTATATACACTCTTCTGCAAATAAACTGGGTCAACCGCTAGTACATTGGAACTCTAATTCGATTTTTTCAAAAAGTATTAAACTTACAACTCATCATTATCATCATCAGCCTATTAATGTCCCCACTGTTACTGTGGAATAGGGAGATTGGGCCATGACCCTCCACACAGGCCCAGTGCGAATTGGTGGATGCTAACGAGTGCAGATGACGGTACCAACGGCTTAACATGCCTTCCGAAGCACGGAGGAGCTCGAGTTAGTAAATTTTTGGTCACCCATCCAATGACCGACCACTGCGAAAGTTGCTTAACTTCAACGAACGCCGAACGCGCTAATCATCTGCGCCATCGAGCTCCTCATCCTCGAGGATTATGAGTAAATGATTATTATTATTATTTGATTATGAATGTGTTAATAAAGACCAAACTTTGATAACATTCAAGAAAGATGCCACATTATTAGCACAACATAATTTAACCTGCATTTCTTTCGTCGTGGTTTTTGAAATGACCAGATTTTTAAGAAACGGTAGAGGACTAGTATATGCGCGAAACAATTTTAATTTTGATAGATTAGTTCTATCTAATTGTTTCGCTTGAAAATCATAATGCGTATTTCATAAGCAGCACAAAACTTAAAGCAACACCATAATTACCCAAAACGTTTTAGTGTTGCAACACAGCGCATTACTCAACTGCCGCAAAAACTGTACCGGAAAACGGGGTAACTTCCCAACACCTGGGCACTGGCACTTTTAAATAAAACAAGCTAGACTTATTTATTGTTAAGGGTTAATTTTCAAAATGGCGTCTAAAGGCCCTTTTAGAGTAATGGTAACAGCTCATTGCATTTTAATTGTGGGAAAATGTCTTTATAGCACTATTAAAAGAGCTTAAAACGGGTACAGGTTGGTTAAGAGCCTTGTTTGCAAAAGTATTTCTTTATACTGTTACGTGTCGGGATGGGGTTCGAAATTATATGCCAGTTCACGCTTGACAGTTTTTTATTCACCACTCAGTTCACACAATTAACACCCAATGTTAATTACAAAACACTCACTAAACACTGTATTTCACTATACAAGTCACTAAACTATCGCACTGGAATACTTTTGTTGCACTTTGATCGCCTTTGGATTCGGTCCGAAATCGCTGTTGAAACTCAACTGTCTCTGCGCGGCGCCAATCGCGCTTATATACGCCGATCGACGCATTCTAGAAAGTACCTGTTCAATTGAGAATTAGCTAGCACCCGTGAGTACAAAGTACCTACTTATACCTACGCAGGTAACGCACATAACTTGTAAACAAGTGCAGATGTCGTTGCTCTTTCTCCCTTACGCCGCACCGCATAAGGCTCATTTTAGAATGAGCCGCATTACTCGACCTCTATCGCGACCCGCGGTGCTCTGGCAAATTCGATCTCTAGCACTTTAGCGGTTACGTTTCGAGAGCGTTTGTGACAATACATTAAATGATTACATTCTGATGTTATAGTTCTCATCAACATTATAACGATACAGTGATTTTATATTTTATTTTTTTCCGAACATGTAATTTTGTTATAATGTACCACTGTAGAGAGGGCAGAGTACTGGTCCTCTGAGATACAGGCTGCGGCCTAGTTCAGATACCAGTCTCTCCACAATCTTGTCATGAAGTCATTAATTAATTCATTAAGTTTGTATTTTTTTGTGCATGGGGTTGTGAGGAGAAGAAATAAAGCATTTTTATTATTCTCGTTATTCATTGTATACCATCATCATCATCATCATCATCCTCAACCCATGTTCGTCCACTGTTGGACATAGGTCTCCCCTAATGCACGCCACTGCTCTCGATTTTGTGCTACTCTCATCCAGCCCACTCCAGCCAGCCTACGAATATCATCATCCCATCTTGTCACAGGGTGTCCTAGACTACGTTTACCGAGTCGCGGTCTCCACTCAAGAACTTTCCGGCTCCAACGTCCATTAGTTCTGCGGCTAATGTGACCAGCCCACTGCCACTTCAGTTTGCTAATTCGGTGAGCTATGTCGGTGACTTTGGTTCTCTGTCGGATTACATCATTTCTGATGCAGTCCTTCCTTATTGTATACCATATTAATGAATTATTTATTATTATTATATTAAAGAAGACTAGAGCAAAGTAGATACTAGGTATTAATTGGGGTAATGTTTCTGTTGATGATTTGAAAGATTTCTCTGAGCTGCACAGTATAACTTTTAGCAGAACTAATAAAGCGAGATTATATATTTTCATAATGATTGTTTAAATTGCTTAAATCTACCGGTCCGGTTCGAAAAAATATTTAATAGGAGCGGAAAATCAATGAAAAATGGTGCAAATAAAGGGGAAAAAATATTCCAGTTGAGATTTTGCGTTCGCTGGATAAACGGTTAGAGTCTGTGCGGAAAGAGAATGGGATTTAGATTGGAGGGCGCTGTAGTGCTTTTCTACCGTAATTGTAAGGTTTTACCCCTTATATATTAGACATAATTAAATACAAAAAAACGCAAGAAATCACAACAACAAACAAATCCGTATCAATAAAAAACTTTGACGTTTTACAGATTGCTGGGATTGATTGTCAAATAAATATCATAATGTTAGTTCCGTTTTTGGCCACGCCCATTCTCTTTCCGCACAGACT